TTTTTTTTTTTTTTTTTTTGTATTTTTTTAAAATGTCCCAAAATTCTAAAGCATGAAGCCTTTCCTGCTGACAACTTCGTTTGCAACGTCTCGTTACAGAGATAAATATCACTTCCGGCCAGTTTATAACTAAAGGCAATCTAATTTGCATATAAGAGAAAATGCAGTATTTTTCTTGATTTTGAGTTGTGTACACATTTCCCGTTATCCTTGAAGCGCAGTGCCCCTTTATGCTAAAAAAACTTTGAAAGAACTGATCGACACGCGCTGTTTATTAATCACATCATTGTAAAATAAACTTTTATAACACAGACGTAAATCACGTTTCCACGCCCAAGTCATAAAATTGTTAAAAAGCGCCTATACCTGCACTTGCCGAAAGTAGGTCAATTGCCTGTATAAAAATGCCATACGATTATCGATTTTTGTGTATGGACGGTTTTTTAGGGGGAGGGTAGCACGCAAGAGAAAATTATCAAGATGCCAGTAAAATATTTGGGACTCTTGGAACCACTTCAAGCAGAGTATATTGGAAACATTTTAAAGGCTAAAACTAATCGACTTTGTCAGTTTTTCAACTAAAACTTTGCAGACATTATTACAGAATCTATATTTCATCTGTTTCTCCCTAAAATGTTGCAGACCGCGTTAACCTGTTTCGCTGTGGAGAAATGAGGGATACAGATATGAACCAGCAAACGATAGGGTTGGGTGGATGAGGGGGGGGGGGGGGAGAGAGAGAGAGCTTAATCCGTCATTTTTTCCTGTCACGTTAGTTTAGAGCTGGATGTGTGTGTGTGTGTGTGTAGGGGGGGGGGGGGGAGGGCGCCCATTTTTATGCCGCGTGAATATATACATATTGATATTGGAATAAGTAATAAAATGTTAATACTCTAACAGAAGAAATAATTTTAAAAACACCACAAGAAAGAAGTATTTATATATATTATACGAGTATTACTGCTAATTAACTGAAAAAGTTTAAGCATCTTGAAGATCTTGAAGAAGGAATTCGAAAACGAAGCCTTGCCCGGTATATGCATCGTGGATGTACCAGGAAGGCAGATGTACATGTTGCTGTTAATCATAGGGCAGTAATTTAAGAAGGAAATTATGGGGTCCGCCATATGGAAAAACGTCTCATTGTGCAGGAGCTGTACAAATTGTCGTCTTTAGGTGGCGACAAACCCGTAGGCATTGTTGGCACAATTTGTCGCCCTGCACAAATTTACGCCAGTTACAATGATGTATACAACTAGAGGATCAGAGAGGCGATACCGCCTCCGAATATTGTACCACCAGCTGGAGCAAGCGCATTCGTATAGACCCCCACATACACAAAATAAGGGACACAGCCACCAGTTTTGTGCTTGACAAGCTGTAAAAATGCAATCAACAAGAATTTTTAAACTATTGCAAAATATATATATGGTACAATCAAATTTAAGTTCTTCGTAAGGTAGGTCAAGGGTCAATTTCAAGGTCACAGTAAATTGCCAGTATATGACTTCCTATTCAAGTTCAAGAGTAACTATGGACCTATCTCTGTCAAGTTTGAAGTTAAAAGAGAAAGAAATTAGCAGAGTTCAGTTCATGATAAAAAGTAGGTAAAAGGTCAATTTCAAGGTCACATTTAGATTGCCAGTATATGACTTCCTATTCAAGTTCAANACAATTTTTGGTGCTGCTGCCATGATGACCATTATGGGAAAACCATGTTACTTATGACTGTCAAACTTTCAAAAAAGAATCACAGGACTAAAATGTGGCCTGAGCTGGAAAAGCAGTCTAATTGGCTTCTTTTTCTGGAAGTTATACATTTTAGTGAAATATTCATTATTATCGTTTTGGCATATTTATTGTGGGACTCAGAGCTCCCATGGACATGAAGCTGAATGGTAATCAAGTTTTCTACATTTCCATGCTATTTATAGTCAATTATCAAAAATTGGTGATAATTATTCTGTTATTATGTAATGTTACATCAAAATTGACAAAAATCTTTTTGCACTGCTGCTACAAACGTTATGAAAAGAAAACTGTGTTACTTATAATTATTTTTAACTTACAAGTATGATTTTTAGGATTGGCATGCAGTTCAAATTAGAAAGCCAGCTCAATTGGGTTATCATTTATTATTGAATTTATGAAGTTTTGTGTGAAATTTTCATTTTTCTCATTCTGGCATTTTCAAAGTGTGAACGTGAACTCCCATCGACCTGAAGCCTTATGCTTGTTACACATTTTACTTACATCAGTATTACCTGTTGAGTATAATTAAAATTTGATTTTGAATTTGCAGTTAAGCATAATTAATGTACTTTTGCATCAGAATTGACAGTAGCCTATTTTGTGCATTGTTATTTTCTGCTTTTTGTCTGTACATTTGACAGCTTTGCTGTCTTGTTTTTAAAACAAGTTCACAAGTAATGTTTATATTCCAGGAATACACCCAGCTGTGTCATGCTGCAGACCAGACACAGACTAACACTCCCCTGGCTGCACAAGGTTAGATAAAACACAGGCAGTTAATCCAGAGGAGGGGTGGGGTAGGGGAGAGGAGGAGGGGAAGGAAAGTCAGAGGCCCACAGATTCATAATTTATGCCTTTCAATTATCATGTAGAGGGTGAACAAAAAGGATGAACTTTACTGGTATCCCTGATGATACTCTGGGTCAGCCATTGTTCAGATCAAACCCTTTTCTTGTTTTCTTAGCATGCAAATTAG